ACCAAGGAATGAATCCAGGTCGTCAGTATCCCTTTACACAATCCAGCTTTTTCAATTGCCCAAATTCCCAAGGGAAAGACACCTAGGCTAGCTCCGAGATTTATGCTTTTCTGATAGGCAATATGAGTTGGGAGGATTATGGACTTGAAGTGAAGCTTCAAATAACTTCAATCAAATGTCGATTGCCCCAATCAAAGTCTTTAGGATGAAGATACTCTTTTGGGGAAAGGGTCTGAGATGATCTGCGATTTGATTTAGCACCCAAATCCCACTGCAAACCACTATAATCAGTGGTTCAAAACATGATATTTGGATTCTAGGGTTTATGATGAGGGTTGAAAAAGGAACAACACAAACTATTTTTGGGGTTTTGATACCAAAAGGGAAAACGAAGAAACATGATATGGAAGGCAATGAGAGATGTGATGGTATATACAATGAAGGAGAATAAAAACGATTGAAGTTAGAAGACTAACAGAGGTTCGGAACACCCAGCGGCAACTCCCATTCAGGAAGCAGAAACTCTCGTTTTTGGGAGAGAGCGGAAGCAATTGCACTTTGAACTTACAGGCTTGTCCACCTAATTAAATGTGGAATTTAAGTCCTAAATTTGGTGGTTTTAACAATTTGATTTATGGCAATAATCATTCCCATAACAGAGGGTTGTTTTACCATTTGATTTGAGATTTGTAATTAGAGGTGTTCACAGTTGGTTCGGTTGGATGTTTGATCATTTTCCCTTCCAAACCAATACAATCTTTCTCAATATACATATTATAAAAATTGCTCAATTCTTCAATAAATTCCAAATAAATACATGAGCCTTTTAAAATTTTTAATAAATATTAATGGACTTTTTAAAATCTTCAATAAATACCCAATATGTCTTTTAAAATTCAAAATAAACAATACTTTCAATGGTAATCTTTCCATACACATTTTTAATGGTATTATATTTTCAATAATAATCTTTTCTTTTAATATAATTTTACTTCAATCCAACTTTAACTATTATAAGTATGTCTCATTATCTTATTACATTATAAAAAATTATTAAAATCTTCAATAAATCTTGAATAAATACTTAATATCATGTTAAAACCCATCTAAAATCTCAAATAAACGCCCAATGGGCATTTTAGAATCTTCAATAAAGAATTATAATTTTAATCATTAAGACCTCACTTTTGATTCCATAAATTGATTCAAGCAAAAAAAAAAAAAAAAAAGAATCAAATAACTTCCCTTTCCATATTGCAATTCAATTGATTGGGCAACTTCAATTCCAAATTAATTCTACAACTTTAATTATATAATAATAATTCAAGTCTTATATACTATACTATAAAAATTGTTAAAATCTTCGATAAATATTAAAAGAACCTTTTAAAACATTTCCAAAATCTCAAATAAACACCAAATGGACCTCTTAAAAAAACTTCATTGGGAATGTTGAAACCTTACTAAATTAAATTAACATCCTTTCAAATTTCATGACGAGCATGGTAAATATAATTCTTTATTAGATTAATTCTTCATCTAATAATACTTTAATTATATCAAACTTATTACCAATTGTTATTAAATTTGACTTTAATTACCATATAATAATTTGACTTTTACATCTACATATTATTAAAATTAAAAACAATTTACTCAAATATATAATCCAACTTCTATGTCAATTATATAATGTGCTTAATGTAAATATAAATTATATTATATCACCTAGATGGACGCTACAGGAATATCAAATCTGTATATTTTGTAACTATATATCTCCGAATTATCTGATGATATTTGAGTTAGTGGAGATATGCATTAATATCTGCAATATCCAGATGATTCCTAGCGTCTGAAAAATTAGCTAAGATACATGATTTTCATAGGAGACAAGTGGAACTACAGGGATAGTTAATTCTCATGGAAGTTCAAAAATATTGAAGCTAACACTAAATGAAATGGTTAGTTCAGAGGATTCAGTTAGCAAGTTGCTAAAGGAGACCAACGAACTACATCTAGTTTGGAATGGTGTGGAAAGTGTAGTTAACGACTTAAATGAGGCAGGTTTTCAAGAACCATATATGTGCAGGCAAGAAGAATTCTAGGAGATGGTGGTGAGAAGTACCCACAAGAGAGGGCAAATGGCTGGTTTGAGGTAGAGTTAGGTGACTTCTTCAATTAAGGTAGCAAAGATGACGAATTACATTTGTTTCGCAATGGTAGTTTAGCAAGACATAACAAAGCTTTTCTTTCACCTTGTGTATTTTTTGTGTGGGAGAAACATTGCTTCACATATACATGTTAAATTGAGGTTGCAATGCACTAGTTTCATTTAAGATGTTTCTTCTATTATTACCATTTGAACAATGTATTCCTAATCTATGGAGTTAATTACTAATTTTTATGTGATTTAGAGTGTTTTCATTTGGTTAATTGTATGATGAAAAATTACATCTAAAATTTATGATTTTAACTCTGAGTTTTCTATTTGAAGCTAAGGAAGGGTTACGTAACTCATTTTGAAAGTTCATGATTAGAATTTTTATTGAAAAAAAATATGGATACTCAATTGCTATCAAAATTGAAAGAAAATGAAAATAACTTCAACAATATTAAAAATACGTACTAGATTAGTGCGTGAGGGTTTTGTCTCCTCTCATGGGTTTTGATAGGGGCTTTTCCCGTTTGATGCCGAGGCTGTATGGCCGGGCCGTAATGTGGCTGTCGGAGGCGAACGTTCTCTACTCGATTTGATTGAGTTTCGGTTGCGTCCAGTGGTGCCGATCTGTTTGTTTATGGTCGGGTTTCACCTGGGCTTGCTTGTCGGCGGTCTGGTTTTAAGTCACAGACTGGGACTAAACCCGTTGACCCGGTCCTGGTCCGAACGAGCCGGGTCTAAACTTGGGTTGGGTGTTTGGGTCTGAGACATGGCTGGAACTAGCTTGGAACAGGTGCGGACAAATTTGATTTTTTTCTTCTTTTTATTTTTTTTAAACTTTAAAGTAAGAAATTAAAATAATAGCGCAATGTGTAAAGTGCAAACTTAATTAAACATCCAAAAGTTCAAAAAAAAAAAAACTTAATTAAACATCCAAAAATTGAAATAAAATAAATTCAAAATACGTAAACGAAGAAAGAGTAAGACAACTGTAAACGAAAAAATTTATTTATTTCATGTGTTATTTTTAACATTTTATTATGATTATTTTAGAATAAGAACAAAATTATTTTTAATACTACTAAAAGTTAAATTTAAACCCTCTTAAATTTAAAGAAAAATCATAACACTAAACCTAACAAAACTTTATGTTATTTTAAAAATTACATTTTATTTTTTTAGATGGAAAAAGGATTTTTTTTTTACAAAATTTTTTACAATTGATTACTCTTTTTTTTTTTTTGGTTTTAGGGATTTTATTTTAAATTTTATGTTTTATTCTTAGAATACACATTTGTTAAAACTTTCACCCTTTATTTTTAAACAAAAAAATATGTTAAGTGGTATAACTTTCTTAATTCAAAGGTAAAAATATTTGCAATTTTAGTCATTCATTAAATAATGTTTGGTTTAGTAGATTGATTTTTGTTTTAAGTATAAGAGCCCTTGAGTTCATTTTTTGTTGCTTCAAATTTTAAAGATTAATAATTTATTTTTTAGATTTTATTAACTAAAAAAAAAATTTCTAGCCAAAAAAATTAAATTAAATCCTTAAAATTAAACTATCCTATGCGAGACTACTTTGCCACATGTTGTATGTTAGTAACTCAATTAACTTGAAACTCTTTTTAGAGGTTATGATTATAATTATCATTAAATTTATTAAGATTACTAGAATTATTAAAATTTTATTTTAATTTGATTGATAAAAAAATTTAATAATTGATAAAATAGTTAATATTTATTATTTAACAAATTAAAATTAGTTTATAAATAAATATTTTCAAATATCATAACTAAATATTTAAAAAGAAAAAATTATAAATTAATAAAATTATAATTAAAATTAGTGATTTTAACTAAATCTTTGGGGATAATAACCTTAGTTAGCCCTTATCAAAACTCAAAGTGCTAACATTTTTATCATAATTAGACTATAATTAAGTGAGTCAACAATTCCTCTGTTCAAATAAAATTATCCAAGAGACAATTTGACGTGCGATAATACAACTAATTTAAAATAATAAATTTAATTTAAAAGAAAAAAAGAAAAGAAAAAAGAGAAAGTATTGCAACAAAATGCAGTAACTTATCATTATCAAATGAAAGGATTAACAAAAAAATTGAGATGAGGTGGTAAATGTATTTCTGAGTTTGTCAGAGTGTAGCTTGTACGTACCTTTTTTTTATGGAATTTTGAGGAATAGAACTTACCAGATACCTATAAAGGATTAACAAAAATTAAATGAGTATAAGAATGGATCTAGCATAGTGCTTCATAAAAATTGAATGTTAATCAGTAAATCTCAAATAATTTTCAACAATCTCATTTTTTTATACCATCAAAATTAAAATTATATGTAAAGCTGAGATGATTTCTTAACCATTTGTTGGTAGCTACTCACTTTGAAATCAAAGAATATTACATAGAAATCTCAAGGTGCAGGCATTTTGGATTCTAAAGCCTCAACATATTAAGCCATTGGGCGGTCTACATAGATGTTTGTAGGACACCAGAGGAGGTTGCTTCTCAAAAATAGCCTTCAAGATCTCAGGAGTTTAAACTGGTTCCAAGCAACTTCAATCGCTTCATGCTTCATAGTAATTAAAAGCCCAGTAATTGCTCAAATCAAAAGCACACAATCAAATGCTTACCAATTTACAAAATTAAAAAAAATAAAAAAGGAAAGAAAAGAAGAAAGACTGATGACTTACCTTTTAAAAGGGCTTAACCCTTATTTAAGACCTAAACTTATAAAATTTAAGGTTATTTGACCTTTTCACTTTAAGAGCCGTTTGATTAGAGCATCATTTTATGTGAAA